ATCCATGACCCTGAAGTAACCCACAGAACACGATGTGACTTCACATGTAGCTGTGTTTACAGATGTGAACATGAATGCTACACATCTTAGCATGGATCTCTCACTCAATGACCACTGCAGATAGACACCAGGAGATGGTTTAACAAAAGTAGGATTTGTACATCCAGGGTATCATCTGTAAGTCACAGCTGATCTAGATTTGAACTTTTAAACCACAGTAGCTGCATTTCCATTGCAAAGGTGCGCAAAACTGTCGATATTCTGTTAATGTCGAAAAACTGTTTCGCAACTGCAGTGTTTCCATGAAGTAAGAAATGCTATTAAAGTCACGCGTGAATACGTTTGTTCTCGCGATAAGTCATTACAAACATGGCGACGATGGATGTAAACACATAGCATGTTGCTACCACGACACTAGCGCTCATCATCAGAGGAGACGTCGGCGTCTTTTATCGAGGCTTTCCAGAGACAAGTCCCTACTTGAACGTATGCTGTGTTTTTGGGAAATTGTAGTCGGTGAGTTTATTTTATACTACTTCTGTGATATTACTACTACTTCTACTTCCTGTTATCTTCTTCGTCATCGTCTTTTTCGCCAGTAAAAACAGCCGGTTGATCACGTGACTCCCGTGATGCAAAAAAAGTGTTTCCATTGCAGTTTTGCGAAAAACACCAATTTCGATACGACGGAAAAATCACCTCATCCTAGCGCAAAAACACTTGTCGAAAAACGTAATTTTTATTTAAAGAAAAACGTAATTTTTTTCAAAATTGACGTGTTTCCATTTAGCAGATTTATTTTCGAAATTCTAATTTGCACATTTTCATGGTCAATGGAAACGCAGCTCATGTGCAAGTGATCATATTGAAATGGAAGGAGTATCAGACCACTGCACATCTACCAAGACCCGGCCGTCCCTCTAAACTTTCATCTGGAACAAGGAGAAGACTGATCAGAGATGCAGCCAAGAGGCCAATGATCATTCTGGACGAACTGCAGAGATCTACAGCTGAGGTGGAGAGGAGAGTCTGTCCATAGAACAGCAATCAGTTGTACACTGCACAAATCTGGCCTTAATGGAAGAGTGGCAAGAAGAAAGCCATTTCTCAAAGATATCCATAAAAAGTCTTGTTTAAAGTTTGCCACAAGTCACCTGGGAGACACATCAAACGTGGAAGAAGCTGCTCTGGTCAGATGAAACCAACATCAAACTTTTTGGCCACAATGCAAAAAGCAGCACAGCTCATCACCCTGAACACACCATCGCCACTGTCAAACATGGTGGTGGCAGCGTCATGGTTTGGGCCTGCTTTTCTTCAGCAGGGACAGGGAAGACAGATGGAGTCAAATACAGGACCATTCTGGAAGAAAACCTGTTGGAGTCCGCAAAAGACCTGAGACTGGGACGGAGATTTATCTTCCAACAAGACAACGGACTTCATGCAAGAACCGTTATACAAAAAGATTTCCCAAGCTTTAAACATCTCAAGGAGCACTAGCTGCGTTTCCATTGCAAATGTGCGCAAAATTTTGTCGAAATTCTGTTAATGTCGAAAAACACAGTTTCGCAGCTGCAGTGTTTCCATGAAGTAAGAAATGCTATTAAAGTCACGCGTGAATACGTTTGTTCTCGCGATAAGTCATTACAAACATGGCGGCAACGGATGTAAACACATAGCACACGACACTAGCGCTCATCATCAG